TAAACAAATAGTGTCAAATCTAATTGAGCATAAAGAAGGATGATTTTGAAGGAATTTTTAAAATTTGTTGTTATGTTACTGTGTCTAAAAAGTCATTAAAGCCCTACCTCTGTGTACTAAAAAAAAACTGGATACATTTTCAGCTCTCAGGGAATTAATTTTGAAGGGTTTTGTTTTTATATTGTAGTACTGTTCAGTTGTACTTATGAAGAGAAGCACTTTTTTTTTTCCTTTTGGGAAAACCATCTATTTAACATTATAAAATACTAGGAATAAGGCTCGTTGTGGAAATACATACAACGAGCTCTAGAAAGAGGCTCTGGGTTGGTGCCCTGGCCTTTGGAACTCAGCGTCAATTTGCTGTGGTGATCTCTGCCGGGTATAATGACACAGAGCTTACCGTTTTCTTCAGGGGAACTGATCTCTGCCATCTGAAGAGCAGTTGTAATTCTGAGTGATCTCTAGCCCTCCCCTGGAGATTGGCAACAATGGTTCCCCAAGAGGAAATGGCTGGTTTGGACGGTGGAGACTATGGCATTGTACCTGTCTGAGGTCCCACCCCTCCTCAAACCCCACCCTCTCCAGGCTCCACCTCTCAAATATCCCCATGGTAAATGGATAATTCCTAAAGATTTTCCAAAACTCTACTCTGTCCACATTCATTTTCTACATTCACAAAGTCCATTGTCAGAACGCAACACATCCCCAGCACTTTGAATTAGCACCAGAGCTTTAAGAGCTCTCTTGCTGTCACCTGAAAATTGGCAACAGCTTGTTTGGAGGGTGGGGTCTATGTCATTGTATCTGTCTGAGGTCCTCCTCAGACCCCACCCTCAGCAGGCTTCATCCCTAAAATATCCTGGAAGTTTCCAACCTGGAGCTGGCAACCTATGTCCTTTCCAGGAAATCCTCAGTCTACCTTTATCTGCCTGTCTGTCTTTAGGTTTACATCCCCCCCCCCCAATCCTCTGCCTAGGGAAAGGGCAGTCTTTCCCTCCAGTGGGAACCAAAGCAGCTGACATCATTCTCCTCTCCCCTGTATGATCCGCACAACAGCCCTGTAAGGTATGTTAAGGTAGAAAGTCTGTGAATGGTCCATAATCCCGCAGGCAGCTTTTATAACATGAACCTGGGACCTGCAAACCATCCTCTGAATCACTCTCAGGTACATATCTGTAGCAGTAATGGGCTGACTGCTGGCCCCTTTTCCTATCATTTTTTGCCTTGTGGTATTCTGCTTGTGGTGTGATCTGTCTTTTTTGTGGTGTGGCATGGTTGTGTTATTGGGTTTGTTTCTTTTGAAGGGGAAGTGATGTGTTGTGGTTGAGGACATATTTTACCTCAGAATACACCAGGTCGCATATGCAAATTGGGGGGGGGGAGTTTGAGGTGCGGAATGAAGTCCAATCAGCTTTCATATGCAAATGACCTTGAAACACTGGCCCAATCAGAGAAGAGTGGCCTAGGCTGCAGTGGGTGGGAGAGAACTCAGGCAACGCAGCCAGTGGATAGAGACACCTTGTGATTGACATATCACAGAGCGAACTGATTTTAGCGGGCATAGAATGTTGCCATGCGAAAATGCTTTTATATATAAGCACAGGATTAAAGGAATAAATTTTTACCCGCTATCAGCTTCCCCAAATTTTCCTTTTTTTTTCATTACAACCCAAATTGTAATGGAATCACAAAATAACAGAGCACAGTTTACGGAATATATCCATCCTTGTTTTTAAAAAGACTTGGGCCAATACTTTTGTTAAAAACAAGAAACCAAGCAGGGACCTGTTATTCAGCTGTGTATCTTGTCTTGCAGTCTAAAGCCACAGTGTTAATTATATAAGCAGCTGCCTTCCCTGAGGCAGTTCGTTGAGAGAGGATGCTATTTAAGAATGATAGTAATTGCAGGTTGCTTTTGAGCCCTTGGGTGCTTGTTTAAACAAACTCAGTCTGAGTGATAACAGCTTACCACTTAAGTCTTGGTTTTAAGTGAAAACCTCCAATGACATTCAGATGTTGGAACACTTTCACTAGCGTTGCTTTATGTTCTGCTGCCCAGAGGTTACAGCTGCTTGGGGACTCCTGCCTAAGCCACTGGAAGCCCAAATTTCAAATGAAAATAGCTGTACCTGGAATTCTAAATCACTCATGTGCATGAGTGAGTCGGGTATCTAACGTCTTAGAGAGCCGAGCTGTTTTTGGCTTCAGCTAAACTGGAGAGAGCAACAAAATAGCATTCCCCTATGCAGGTGAATTTGCATAACCAGAACAGGAAGTTTCATTGAAGGGGTAAACTGTGCTTTGTTGCTACTCAGCCGTAGAAGGCTCCAAAGTGAAAGAGGAATGTGTTCCTTAGAACTGTGCATGGGAGGCAGTAACAATTCAATCATTTGTGGGCAGGGGTCATTTTGTAGAAAAAGAGGTGCAGGAGCTCATTAGCATAACTTATTTGCATATTCCACACCCCCTGACATCACCGGAAGTGTGTCAGAAGGCAACACCCACTGCTCAGGCTCCACTGGACTGTTTTGGATTGCTAGCTATTTTGGGGGGGGGAAGGAAAGTGCAGATCTGTCCTTGCAGAGGAGGGAGAGCTTGTACCTGAATAAAACTTGGTCTTAAAGGTGCCACTGGACTGTTTTGGACCTGTTGGCTCTGCAACTTACCTGGCTGCTTCTTGCTCTAACTGAGGGCTGCTGGGAGCTTGTTGCATGTGCCCGCCCCCTGGGCTCTTTACTGCCGGAGCTCCGCTCCTGTGCGCTCCTGCAGGAAATGACCCCTGTTTGTGGGAGAACAAAGTGAATGAACAGAACTGGAAGGGGAAAAAATAACCTGTCCTCTTCATAACTGTCAAGAATGCTGCCATGGGAGGGGGTTGTGTAGTTTTTACTGTGTGTCATCAGGAAGCTAGTGGTCATAATTGAATATTAAATGGCTCATAATAATAGGAGTGCCGCCTCAATGGTAGCCCAGAAGGCAAGAGAAGCGTATTATGAGCGGGTTGTTTAAAAGACACCATGTAATGGAATCTAAAATTTTAAATGGCATTAAATTTCCATCCAATAGATTCTAGCCGGCGGCCACAATAAAATTAAAGCAGATAGCACCCATTAAACAGACCTAAAACTGTGCAAATGACTTTTCTTTATGAATGAGCCTGGCAATACAGAGAGATAAATGTCAAATAGACACAATAGTCTCAACAAGTTTGTGTTGTGCTACAGTGAGAAAGTTCAATATTCATTGATAATTCCTAGAACCTAATGTCTTTCAGGCTTTTCCAGAGTCACGGCCTCGTGGACACAATGACGGAACCATATAATCATATTTGGTGTTTATATATTACAGTTCATTCCAAGTGCTCAGAGGGTTTTTATATCATTTCAGTAACCTGTAATGCGTTCCTGGATGGTAGGACCAGTATGTATCTGCTAGGCACCCCAAGTGAGGTCCAAACTGAACATAATATTGAGGCTCCATAATCTGATGTACCTATGTGTAATTTAGCCCTTAAAAGTAACCTACAGAATTAGTTCTGATTGGGGAAGCCATGTGGGGACAAATAGTTGAACCCTGCCTTCCCTAGCACTACAGTTCTGACATATTCAGGCTCCCTCATGGCTGCTTTTTGAGGCTAAATTTCATTTTGGGAGGGACATAATCATGAATTCTCAACATCATGTGTGGTTTGTCCCTGACAGAAAAGCGGCTTTGTTTCTGCCTGAGCTGAGGTATGGTTTGCTCAGTCTCTTACATTTCCTCAGATCTCAGCTGTGTATTTGACATGAGCAATTGGTATCCAGCCTGTCAGTGCTGAAGTACATGCTCTTGTGTTTTGTACAGGTGCAGAGGGCTTGTTTTTCCCAATTCTTGGCATGTAGCTTGGAATGGGGATTGTAGTGGGGCACACTTGTTTAAAAATCAAACTTTCGTTTCTTCTTTGTGGAGCCTGTAAGCAAAATAGAAAAGCAGAGAGATCTTTCTATGACACATGTGGTGGACCACACAGAAAGCTATTTCTGTGATGGTTGGAGGGGGAAGCATACGGCTTCTTTCATGGCTTAATCACTTCAGTGGCAATGACTCCTGTGGTCTCTCGCTTTTGCATAAATAACTTTTAGTGGCTTCACGTGCGTCTTTAACATGTCTTCGCCTGTGGTTTGCTGTATATATGAGGCAGAGCATACAGAAAATCATTCTTGGGTTGAACATAAGGCATTGTTAAATTATTTAAAGCTAGCTATCTCTGGCCTCAGTGCAATGTAATTACTACCATGGAGCTGCGGTGGCTCAAGTGGTTAAGACGCTGAACTGCAGGCTGTGGAAAGTCGGTAGTTCAGCAGTTCAAGACCCGAGTTGCCACGTGACGGAGTGAGCTCCCGTCTCTAGTTCCAGCTCCTGCCAACCTAGCAGTTAGAAAGCAAGAAATTGCACGTAGATAAATAGGGACCACTTCGGTGGGAAGGTAACAGCGATCCGTGCGCCTTGGTGTTTAGTCATGCCGGCCACATGACCACGGAAACGTCTTCGGACAGCGTCGGCTCTACGGCTTTGAAACGGAGATGAGCACCGCAACCCTAGAGTCAGATTCGACTGGCTTTCGAGCAACGGAACCTTTACCTTTACTCCACAAAACCAACCCCCAGTATTGGGGGTCCCTCTCCTGACTAGCATGCCTATCAGACATGAAGCCTCGCTGCCTGAAGGAAACTGTGCCCTTCCCCCCGGCACACAGCTGGAAGGGCTTCCTCCTTATGCACAGCAGGATTTGGATCCCCTCTACCGTGCCTGTTCCGAAGAATTTGATGTGTTTACTCAGCGTGTCCAAGTCTAGAATTCAACATCTTAATGGTGACGGACACTTGGCTGCCCAAAATCTTTTTGTGACCTGGGCTTAAAGAATGCTTCAACCTTTCGGTTTTAAACCATGAACTCCATTTAGCTTCTGCAGTAGGCCAGACTCCGTGATGGCTGATCTGCTTTTCTTTCCTGTGTTACAGATTGCCTATGCTGCAGTGGATTGTGCCAAAGAACAGAATCATGACCTGTGTAAGCAGGAAGGTGTGGATGGTTACCCAACCTTTAACTACTACAACTATGGGAGATTTATAGAAAAATATAATGGAGACAGAGCGGTAAGCACATGGTGGGGGTTTTGAAACCTTTATTGATACGATGTTGATATGAATAGTCTCATCCTCTTAAGAGAATTCAATGGGAAACAATAAGTTAGAAAGCAACATCAGTCATTTTGAGGACATCTGCTCCCATACCAAAGGGGCCTATAGGTTTAGCACCTGCTGGGGCCCTGACACATGTGCTGGTGGCCCCCGCTTGGAAAGACTGGGCGCTGTGTGCTCCTGCCCTGCGAGAGGTGAACTTCATGTATGAGCAGAGGTCATTTCGGGGGGGAACGCAGTTCCCCCGGGTGAGGTGCAGGGGGGCGGGGCACATGACGAAGCCCCACCCCCTGCTTCCGGCCGCCCAGCTTCCAGCCCTCATTCAGCCAGGAGGAGGCAGGAGAAGAGGGAGGGTAAGTTGCTTCCTCCCCACCTCTCCCCACCCCTGACTGCCTGGGGCCAGGGAGGGCCTTGGCAGGGCTTCCTCGCACTCCCACTGGCCTTGCAGGTCCACCGCCGGGCCCCTGATGTCAGGGGGTGTGGCATATGCTAATGAGTTATGCTAATGAGTTCCCCTAGCTCTTTTTCTACGAAATGACCCCTGTGTATGAGTATTAAGAACAGGAGTATTAAGAAGTTCACTCGGGAGACCTCGGGCCAGTTACTTGCCCTCGGCTTAACTTGCCTCATGGTGGTTGTTGCGAGGATAAAATGGGGACAAGAAAACCATGTGGGCAGCCTGGAGCTTTTTGGATAAATGGCCAATGTGTGTGAGAGAGAACCAGCACAGTATCTTACACACAGCATTATTATTCTTCATTGTGTTTAATTATATGCTTTTGATCATATTATTGTTTACTTTGGAGATATGCATCGGGGAGAAAGACCGGATGTAACTACTTTTAATAAAATACATACAAAGGGAGGGGGATACACAGGAATTGTGCTTCCACTTCATGCATGTGCTTGTGCGCATTTTGTCAAAAAGTCTTTAGATGGTGGAGCCTTTTAAAGGGTCGGAATAAACATAGCACTACTGAAAATGGGAACATTCTATGTCTGCCAGTTCTGTGTCTAGTCAGGTAGCATTAAAGCTGTTTCAGCGATCTCTCTGCATATTCACTCAGAATCCAGGGCCTCGGTTACTCTGTGCATATTTGAAATATGTTCAGATCAGCCAAGTCATGACAGATTGTTGGTTTCGTACTGTGCCCTCTGGGGATGAGGAAGCAGGAAGAGGCAAATGAATTGCTTGTAGTGCTCCAAAATTTGAGACTCTGGAACCAAAGAGCTTGTTCTCTGTTTAGTTGTGCTTCCTTCGCTTGCACTCTTGAAGGCCGAATCTGCATCTAGAATTTGCTCCGCTGTCTTACCAAACCCACACTGGAACAGAAAAAGACACGGCTCAAAACCACAAAACCCGCCCACCCAGCGGCCCGAAAGCAATTAAATCAAAGTGAGTAGGCAAATGGGTACCCACCCTTAGATGGGTGGGGGGCACCCTCCTCCCTAGCAAGGTCTGTGGTTGCAGCAGGTGAGAACATCGGCGGCGGCGGAGCCTAGACGGCGTGGAGTGATCCCTGGCGGCAGACAACAGCCGTGGAGACCAGGAAGTCGCACGGTGACGTGCATTGCAGGCGCGGTGGAGCCGAATAGGACGAGAGCCGAGGCCGCAGCAGGCACGGAGGCGTGCGCCGGAGACGGTCCCACCGATCAAGCAGCCGGCCCAGTGAGACGCCAGAACCGCCTGAAGAAAAAAGAAGCCAAGCCAGAAAGACACAGCGGGTGCCACCAAGGGTGCTGGTAGGAAATCCCCACCCCTATCATGTGGCCTTAGTTAGAATGAATACATTCTTAGAACACTTCCTGTAAACCGCCCAGAGACCCCTAGGGGTTAGGGCGGTATAATAAGTTGAATTAAATAAATAAATAAATTCAAATACCCCAGCTGCCAACGCCTTATTGACTGCAGAGTCACCCCCTCCGCGAATGGCCATAAAACAGCCATAAATCTATGCAGACGGCCACCATAAAACCAAGAGATCAAACGAAGTGAAAGCGGCATGCAGTCTGGATGCTGCCATAAAATTTGACAATCAATCAAGGTGAAAGTGGCATGCAGTGAAGACGGGAATTTCTGTTCCAGTGTGGGTTTGGTAAGACAGCGGAGCAAATGTGAGCTGCAGATTCGGCCGAAGTCTCCTTCCTGTTCAGATCCAAGAAGTTCAGACTTTGTAGAAATATTTTTCGGACGTAAATTCACCCTCCATTCGATATGCCTGGCTGAAAGCTCCCACCCCTGCAATTCAAGGGTGACAATTATTTAACTGTCTGGGGAGAACGATGCTTTACTGGGTGACTTAATGCAGCCTGTGAGTGTTCTCAGGAATTGTTTGATTGGAAGTTTATTGCTGCCACCATGCAAAATCCAGAAATACATAGAAAACAGTAGAGAAGACAGACTGTAAGATCCTGACAGTCTTCATGGAGACGTACGCCTGATTGCTCCCATGGACATTCTCCTGAATTTATTTCTTTGGACTAAATGTAAACACTGGTAAACCGAGCTTCAGCCATAACATTATTTTGGCTTTACAAAGGCATTTACAGAGCCCGGGGCTTATGGAAATAACAGATCACATTTGTTTCAGTGAGGAGGATACTCAAGTGTACATGGGCTCTTTGAAAACCTTGTTTTGAACTGAATTCTGGTTGACTATCCCAAGTATATTGCTTTTCCTTTGTTGATATCTGAATTAGGTCTCTGTCCCCCTCTCTCTTGTGTTCTTCCACTTGCTAACGGAAAGCTGTTTGGCTCCCCATTTCATTGAAATGGATATGTTCAGAGGGGAATTATCACGGCCTGGCAGTCACTGTGTACATTTTGTTTAATTCTTCCCTTAGTTTGGGATGGGGCCCATGCCTCAGTGGTAGAGCATCTGCTTTGTATGCTTAAGACCTCAGGTTCAATCCCTGACATCTCCACGTAAGGATTAGGTAGTAAGTAGCTGAGAGGCCCTTTTGCTAGTGACCCTGGAGAGCTCCTGCCATTTAAAGTAAGCAGTACAGACCTTGAGAGCCAGTTTGGTGTAGTGGTTAAGTGCGCGGACTCTAATCTGGGAGAGCCGGGTTTGATTCCCCACTCCTCCACTTGCACCTGCTGATGTGACCTTGGGTCAGTCACAAGCTCTGGCACAGCTGTCCTTGAAAAAGAGCAGTTTGTGTCAGAGTTCTCTCAGCCCCACCCACCTCACAGGGTGTGTCTGTTGTGGGGAGGGGAAGGGAAAGGAGTTTGTAAGCCACTCTGAGACTCCGAGTGAAGGGCGGGGTACAAATCCAATATCTTCTCTTCTTCTTCTTCTTCTTCTTGATGGAGCAATGGTCTGATTGAGCATAAGGAAGCTTCATCTGTTTAAAAAATGTCCAATTGTCATTACTGAGCTTGCCCTCCAACCTTTCCCTTCCTCCTAGGAAAGCAGCTACAGTTAACCTAGTTCACAGTTTAAAGAAAACAACTCTGGAAGCACATTTTCAGTGCAGCAGGAAACTGTATGTTTTTTATCCCATCCCCAAAGGGCAGGATTGTATTTATGACATTACAGATAAGCAGGGGTCATTTTGTAGAAAAAGAAGTGCAGGAGCTCATTAGCATAACTAATGAGCACAACTCGTTTGCACATGCCACACCCCCTGACATCACCAGAAGCGTGTCAGAAGGCAACACCCACCGCTCAGGCTCCACTGGACTGTTTTGGATTGCTAGCTATTGGGGGGGGGGGGAACGTGCAGATCTGTCCTCGCAGAGGAGGGAGAGCTTGTACCTGAATAAAACTTGGTCTTAAAGGTGCCACTGGACTGTTTTGGACCAGAGGGGGGAAGCTCTGCAACTTACCTGGCTTCTTCTTGCTCTGACTGGGGGCTGCTGGGAGCAGGGGGCGGGGCTTGTTGCATGTGCCCACCCCCTGGGCTCTTTACTGCTCTGCTCCTGTGCGCTCCTGCAGGAAATGACCCCTGCAGATAAGACACAACCATTTTACTAGATGTATAACATAGTAGGGTAGACATCTGATATGAAATTGAATAGATGATTCCCTGGGCAGAATCCATGCTTCTCCCTCTTACTCCAGTGGCTACTGGAGTTATACGGTCCGGCTGGGGCCCTACAAGCCACCTTAGCCCATGCCTAGGGGGGGACTTTTCTGTTTTTCAATAATAGTCCCCTCCCTATACTATATAGGTTTTTTGGTTTCAAAAGTAGAGTGCCATGTGGTATGGCAGTGAGGTTGGCTCTTTTTGTAGCAGGAACTCCTTTGCATATTAGGTGACACACCCCTAATATAGCCAATCCCTCAAGAGCTTACAGTAGCCCCTGTTAGAAGAGCTCTGTAAGCTCTTGGAGGATTGACTACATTAGGGGTGTGTCGCCTAATATGCAATGGAGTTCCTGCTACAAAAAGAGCCCTGGTTGAAGAAAGTCTCCTCCAGTGAATAGAGCTGGTTACTTGGATCTTTGGCTGCCTGCCTGCCATCCTGCAGTTAGAATGGACAAAAAAAGCTGGATGCCATGCAGTATCACTGTGAAGGAAAACAGAGCCTGCTGAACACATCTTGCAAACACAGCACTTTAGGAAGCTCATTTAATTGCAGGTGAATCCTTGTTGGCAGTTGTAGAATGCAGCTGCTTGGGTATTAGAGATCTGTGAGAGTGAAGAAACATCACCAAAAGCTTCACTGGGCTGGATAATACATTTCGGATAACACTTGTAAGAGCAGGTACATTGCTAATCAAAAGCTAGTTCTTTGGGATGTTTTCTGGAATCTCAAATTTCACAACTGGCGATGCGTAACATTCTGAATTAAAATTGACAGATGCAGCAGCCAAAATAATGGTGGCTCCGTTCCCACTACATCGTGTGTCCAAATAGGTCTGATGGGTTGTCAGGCCTAATCTAAAACTCCCAGAAATTAATGGGAAAGCTCCCAGACTTCTGCAGTGCTCCAGCTCCAACTGTCTGGGGGCGTGGCCTCATGACTTTGATCACTTGACAAGAGATGGTGGGCTTTGCTGATTATGGGTGCAGTTCTTTGCTGCAGCCGTGCCTGATTCAGACTGTTGTATATGCTGGAGCTCCGATAACACTTCGTTTGAATGATCCGTTCATCTCGAAAAGGGCTGCATACAGTGGCAGGAATGACCTCTACCATCTTGGATCCAGCAGAATACTTAGGAGGGAGTGTGTATGTGTGAGGGGACTGAATCCAGGGACGAGGCCAGGCCTTGACATAGTAGGGTTGCCAGGTCTGGGTTGGAAAACACCTGGAGACTTTGGAGGTGGAGCCGGGAGAGGGCGGGGTTTGGGGAGGGGAGGGGCCTCGGCGTGGTACAATGCCATAGAGCCCACCCTTCAAAGCAGCCGTTTTCTCCAGGGGAGCTGATCTCTGTCAACTGGAGATCAGTTGTGAAAGCGGGAGATCCCCAGGTTCCGCCTGGAGGCTGGCAACCCTATGACCTAGGGAGTCGTGCTGCGCACCACTGGGAAAGGGGGATGGCCCAGTGTGCAGCAAAGGGAACAAGGGGTGTTGGAATGCTGAGAGAGCCAAAACTTTGAAGGCACGTTGGATCCCGAAGCCCCCAGTTTGGCTCTGAACTGGAAGCTTGAGGAGGGAGTTGGAACCAAAGGGTGTGACAGCAGGCGAGGACCGAGAGGAGTCAGAGGGTGAGACTGAGTAAAGCAAGGAAGTGAGGTAACACCTGCAGCTGGCAGCCTTTGTCCTGCTGGCAGGGATAAAGGGAAGTAGAAATAAAGTACTCGGCTCCCACTCTGGCCCTCCCTTCACCCAGAGCAACCGCAGCACCCCAAAGTTTGAGCTCTTACCACCTAAGATAAAAGGGTCTTCGTTCCCGGATCCTTTTATTCCCACTTCACTGTTTCTAAGTGTATTGTCTGAAGCCGAGTCATGTATCCCTCCTCAATATATAACCAATGTTTTTCTTTTTCTGCCGTGTTCTAGGAATCCGGATTTTCCAATTTCATGCGAACGCTCAGAGAAAGAGACCATGAAAGGACAGGCAAGAGGAAAGATGAGCTGTAATTCCTGCCTCAAAAGATAATTTCCCACTGCACTGTGAATGGTCTCAGGGCCACTGGTACAATGCCTGAGATTTCACATCTTTTAAAAACAAGACTTTTTTGTATACAGCCATTGCCATTTTCTACGACTTTGGAATAAAGTGAAATCATTTGATTTTTAAAAGGAAAATAAATGACATCATTGCCGCCATATCCTGTCATGGGAAACAAAACAAAACAAAAAAAGAGCATTTCCTCTCCATTTTATGCACCTGTGCCCGTTGATTCTCCTATGCAATCTTTTTGGTAATCTGTAGGTTTGATAGTGATTTCTGTTGACAAGGTAATTTCTGCATTATGAACTTTTGAAGAGTATTATCTGTGAAAATGGTTTTGGAGAGGAAAAAAGGTAGGGGCCTTTCATAGTAAAATGCAAAAGGACACCATCCACCAGGGGCAAGTTCTACTTAAATTAATGTACCATTGTGAAAGAGCGTCATGGCCCCCGTGGACTCTACCCAGATGTGCCCGTGAGGTGTACTTTTGATCGGTGTAGTCCACACGCATAGGCAGGTGACAGTCAGCACATGGCCCTCCCTCCCTTAGCTTGACTCTGTGTGACTGAGAGACATCTGCAGAGATAGAGAAGCAAGGGCAGTCTGTCACACGGGTGCAGTAGGAATTTGCCCCCCCCCAAAAAAACCCCACAGCATGTGTTCTCAGTAGTACCTGTCAAGATCACACTGGGAACATGAATAATTGCAAACAATGCTCCCTCTAAGCTGTGGAGTCTTGTGAGAAAAAATTCTCCTTTGTGAGTTACTGGCATTAAAGTTGTGAGCAAGCAATTTGGCTGCTGCGTGAATTAGTTTGCTCTGGAGCCATCCTTCCTGAGCTAAGGCAAAAATGTGTGAGCTGGAGGCTAAAAAACTGTGAGCTAGCTCACACTAACTCAGCTTAGAGGGAACACTGATTGCAACAGTTTTGCAAAAAAGTTGCACCTTTTTTTTAATATCTGGAGCGATTTGGGAACTTTTAAGGTGCTCAGGGATAATAGGGAAATAGTTAATGAAGAAGCATTGGCCATTTCAGATCTTAATTGACTGTAGTGGTGTCTTTTAAAAAAAAAAAAAATCTGCCGTACCTGAACTGTTTACATGTCTTTATAGAATGTATGGGTTATTTCGAGCAAATGCCTTTTTAAGGCCTGCACATATCAAGCACCGAATGAATCTCAGTGTATGTGTTTGCGTTCATGTTGTCAAACGCTCCTGTAAACATCGGGGTAGGGTAGTGCAGGTGTAACGTTCTGTTTTTTAATTTATGATCAGACCATATGAAAAAAAAATGTGTATTTGCTAAGCACGCTGTTTGATTGTATGTTTGACAGAGGCATCAATATTTTTGATATAAAGAAAACATCACACAACAGTAGTTGTTTACGTTCCAAAGGCTTGTCCCTGCGTGTTAAATACAAAGAAGATATACATTTTTTTTAGAGTTCTATAGAAGCAGGTTGTGCTTTTAAAACTAATTGTTTAGCCAAGTCAACTGTGGAAGAAAATACAGCATTACTAGGACTAACTTTTACAAGTGTGTAACAGTGTGCTGATTCTGTGAGGTGAGAGTGATTTGGACATTGTACTTTCACAGGGTTTATTATATTTTTTTCGTGATTTTTTCCAATTTGATTAAAAAGAATAAAATGTTTAAACGGCAGTTTAATCACTGTTATTGTCGTTCTTCAACCACTTCTACAACTGAATATCTGAAGCTGTGCTGGAAGCAAGAAAATCCTGCCATTGCAATCAGCCAATGGTGTCATTCCAGACAGCTCCAGCATCTTTATTATCTGCCTTTCCAAGGTCCTTGGGGGAAGGAATTTGGTCTCCTTGCCTTTTGCCATGTTACTGCTATCCTGCCTGTTTCTCCATGGGAAAGGAGGATGTTAAGTTTTTTTCTGACTCCTTGGCTCCATCTGGTGGAGGATGCCAAGAAATCATTCAACTTTTTAAAAAAATAGCCCTACCGTAGATTCCTCTGGGGGCTTCCTCTTGTGCCGACATTCACGCTTTGAAGGACAGAAGTTGGTAGAGCACATTGGGTAGCTAAAGTTTGGTGCTTCACCCAGTACTCGTAGGTGTAGAAGCTCCTCTACAAGCAGAGGGCTTATGGGACACTGGAAGAAGCCACTAGAGATGGTGTTCAGCTGGTGGTTCAGCTGCAGAACATCAAACCTCTTCTCAAAGAGACATCTTTACCACACAACAAGCTTCATCTTGCTTCCTACGACTCTGGGCAGGCAGAGTGTTTTGGCTTCTTTAGTTCCTTTCTGTACATTCACAGAACTGCGCATAATACTCCAGGTGCGGCCTGGCCAATGCAGTGTACAGCGGGACTATGACATCTTATGATTTGGATGTTATGCCTCTGTTGATACACCCCAAGATCGCATTAGCCTTTTTTTGTCACTGCATCACACTGGCTGCTCATATTTAACTTACTGTCCACCCATACCCCAATCTCTTGCTCACGTACACTGCTACCCAGAAACATACCCCCCATCCAGTATGTGTGTTCCTCATTTTTGTTACCCAGATGTATAATTTGGGACTTATCCTTGTTAAATTGCATCTTGTTCACATCCGCCCACTTTTTCAGCATGTTCAGAATCTCATTGAATTCTATATCTTCTGGTGTATTCGCTGCTTCTCCCAATTTGGTGTTATCTGCAAATTTACTGAATAGCCCCTCCACATCCTCATCCTGATCATTTATAAAAATATTGAAAAGTACTGGGCCCAGAACTGAGCCCTGTGGCACCCCGCTGGACACCTCCCTCCATTCAGAGGAAATGCCACTGACTACTACCCTCTGAGTGGTTGGAGAACCACCTAACTATCCTAGAGTCTAGTCCACAGTTCTCTAGTTTACCCATCAGAACATCATGGGGAACCCTGTCAAAAGCTTTACTGAAATCCAGGTAAACAATATCAACAGCAGTCCCTCAATCCAGTAAGCTCTTTACTCGATCAAAGAAGGAAATGAGGTTGAACTGTTGTAAAGCAGAACAGTCTTTCAGACCATCTTTAGCAACAGAAAAGAAAAGAAAGGGGGGTTGCCAGAAATGGCAGCGACCAGGAAAATTCACGAGTACAATCCGGCGAAGCCTTAGGTACTCTAAAGTCTCACTGACTTCAAGAGGAGTGTTGAGCACGTACTTGAATCCCTCCCCATTGGTTTCACGGAATTTAAAAACGTTTAACTTCGGCTGGATCGCACCCCATGTGTGTTGCATTTTGCCAGACATGATGGGTTCTGTTCTTCCAGCCCTTGCTCCAGAAATCAAACACTCACTCACCGCAAGAGTATACATCTGCGCTGCCAAAGAGGGACTGTGGGGGGAGGCCTCGCAGGAGTTCCCACTCTGTTTTTCATTCTCAAGGCACTTCCTGCTTTCTCTTGGCCCAATTAATGCTTCTGTGCATTTGGCACTCGTTAATCTGCTGGAGCCCCTACTATGTAATCAGTGAATGATGATAGGCTGATTTGCCTTGTGTGGTAGTAAGCTTGTTAACCATAACATAAATCTAAGCAATGGTGCCATGCCAAACAGGTTCTTTTATTAGACTCTGCATGAACTTTCCCATTAGCTAGACAATTAGCTGTCCGGAAAATGAATGGCTTTTCTCTCACTGGATGGAACCTGTCCGTACCACTTAGTGCTATCTTCACTGTTCCCGTCCCAGACATTTTTTAGCTGGAGATTTTTGCCTGTATGTTAAGCTATGGGCAAGGCTGCTACATATCCCATCCCATGTGCTGCAGGATTAAAACATAATTAAGGAACGTATAAATAACACTTTTTCTGCACCACCAGGAGCAACTTCTCACTTAGCACGGCCAAGGCCCTGATACAGCATGAGTGGTTTGATAATTCTACAGATCTTATGTGGGAGTACAGGAGATTCCTGCAGAGGGAGGAAGATGTCTCTGCCCATTCTTCCTAATTGTGATCAGTTCTCTTGCTCTGCTCGCACCTGAATGGCCCAGGCAACCCTGGGCTGCAGTCAGATGACAGGCTTAGCATGGTTTGGCTGCGCCACTAATTTGATCCTATTTTTTGTGTGTGTGTGCTGGAGAGTTTTGTCCAGACATCCACCCTTGACCCACTGCTCTGAGTGCTCACCCTGCGGTTGGCCATTCAGATTATTGCTGTGTAGCAGTCGGTCGGCATCCTTTTTCGTCCGTTCGTTTTTCATGTGTGAGCATGCACCGAGGCTCCAGCTCCTTTTTGACAGCTCTGCGATCTCCCTGCCAAGTACTGTGGTCATTGGGTCCCTTTACCACTGTATCCCTCTGCCAGAAATCACTCCCTTTCCCACCTGATCTTACTCCCTTTCCCAGGTCAAGGGTGTAGACTTTCCAATATCCCGGGGGGGGGGCTGGGGCTGGGCCAGAGGCAGGCTTGTCTTTGCTAGGAGCAAGGGTGGCGCCCGGGGGAGGCTGAGCACCATCCTGAAAATTTCGGCGGGGGCTGACGCCCCGCCGCCCCCACGAAGATTACGCCTATGCTTTCCCTCTCATCTCATCGGGAAGTTCTCCCTTTCTCTCTCCCTATTGAGCTTTCCCACCAGAGCAATATTATGAAATGTCTTGAAGTAACGTTCCAGGCATAGGCGTAAACTACGGGGAGGCAGCAGCTTGGGGGTTGCCCTCCCTGAAATTTTCCAGGGGAGGGACTGAGCCGCCTCCCCCAGGGCAACCAGTGCCAGCCAATACTGAGTTCAAAACTTTCCTGCAATCCGTCCGGGCCCAAGAACAGCTTGCTCTGTGCTGCTTCCTCCTCCTCCTGGCATTGCAGCTCCTTCCTCACCCTCTCGTATTTCCTGCTTGGGAGAAGAGCCTTCCTTTGATTGGCTGAGGGCTCCTTCCCCTCCCCCTCCTCTGTGGAGGGAGAGGGAGGGAAACAGCGAGAGAGAGAGAGAGGGAGAGAGAGAGAGAGAGAGAGATGTAGTCCGATAGCTTTTTAAAACAAGACTAGCAATGTTTTCTTCCAGGTATTTTTATTTTATTTATTTATTTATTTCAGTTTTACCCCGCCCTCCCCGCCAGGCAGGCTCAGGGCGGCTTCCAAAGATTTTGTTTGCTTGCAGACTTCTTCAAGAGAGAGGGGGGAAGCTAAAGAGAGCATGCCAGAGAGACAGGGTGAGAGTGAGTGCCAGCAACGTTTTCTTCCAGCTGTTTTTGTTTGCCTGCAGACTTCTTTGGGTGGGGGAGATGCTAAAGAGCATGCCAGAGAGAGAGAGAGATGGATGCCCTTTTCCTAACAGATGGGGAGGAGAAGAAATCTAGCCGTACAGCTTGCATTCCTTGTTAGTGAAAGGGAGCAAGAGTCCAGCAGCACCTTAAAGACTAACAACGTTTCTGTCAGGGCAGGAGCTTTCATGAGTCACTGCTCACTTCTTCAGATACAACTAGAATGGGAGTCTGTCCTTATATCTTGGAGAGTGAAGTGATTTCAGATGCTAAATGACAATAGCAGGCATTGGTAATGAGAGAAACAACCTAGGTCTCAATTCAGTCCAGGAGTTTGCATTGTCTTGAGCTTCATTATCAGTTGAAATTCAGCAGTCTGTCTTTCTAATTTCCCTTTGCAATTCCTTTGCAAGAGGACTGCTACTCTTAGGTCAGCAACTGAATGTCCTGGAAGGTTCAAATGCCCCCCCACTGGTTTTTGAATGTTGTGGTTTGTAACAGCAGTAGAAAAAGTAAGAGTCCAGTAGCACCTTTAAAGACTAACAAAATTGTGGTAGG